ACTTTTCATCCTTGCAGACCAGCAGACGCCGGAAGTCCAGAAATTTCCACTGCCGCAGACGACAGATTTAGCGGCGGGAACCACGTGATGAGAGAATCCAAGCGACGGCACCAAACTTCGTCACCAATCTAACGTTCATTAATCGATCTGTCGCTCCGGCTGACGGTTATTTTAAATTATCAATTTCTGCAAATAGATTTTTTAATTGATTTCGGTAAATAAGCTTTATTATTGAATTCGGTAATCAGAAATTTAAAAAAAAAATGATCTCTGGATATTGCAGTATTTATGGCTATATTATGTGATTTTTTTAAAGTTGCAATAAAATGTACATACATAGACCTTATAACAGCCTTCACAAATTTAATAAAAAATGAAAGTTACATCAAAATGTTTTCTTTGTTTTTTTTTAAATCGGATAGCCTTATCTCGCTTTTTTTCTATTGTCCAGATTTTATTAATCTTAAAACATAACCATCTGTCCCTTTCTTGTCTCCTCCTAACTCAAAGTGTTTGCAGCGCTTGATTGGTAACTGTTTCCTATATTTACATTCAGTGCACTCCATACGAAGGACATTTTTTTCTGGTGGTTTTAGCCTTCTTTCTAAAATCTGGCTTGGACTGACCACCATAACCGCTCTGCTTTCTGTCATAACGTCTTTTACCTTGGGGATTCAAAGAAGCCTTTCCTGCTTTGTACTAAGTAACTTTATGTATCGTGTGCTTTTTGTATTTCTACTCCTTGCACAAGGTGCGTCTCTGTTTTGGAACGTTCACCATCTTAAAGTTTACACGGACTAAAATATATGCTATCATTTCCATATCCGACGAACCAAAGTGCACAGTAAACTGCTTCACCTTCAAGATGTGGACAGCGATATCTGTAAATTGGTCAGAGTCAAAACGTAACTCTGCAGGTGTTTTAAAAGAAATGGACATTTTATTTTAATGTTCATATAAATACTAGATCATTTTGGTACATAAGCACCCTAGTTTAATAACATTACTGATTATCCGGTTCAAACGACAACGGTTATAAGAATATTTTTAATAACTAATTGACCATATTATTATGTGCTTTGGCCAAAAGGGTTTTGGACATAGGTGATTTGTTTACAGAGGGGCTTTGATCATAGAGGCATTGACTACAGGTGATTTGTTTACAGAGGGGCTTTGATCATAGAGGCTTTGACTACAGTTGATTTGTTTACAGAGGGGCTTTGATCATAGAGGCATTGACTACAGTTGATTTGTTTACAGAGGGGCTTTGATCACAGAGGCATTGACTACAGGTGATTTGTTTAGAGGGGCTTTGATCATTGAGGCATTGACTACAGGTGATTTGTTTACAGAGGGGCTTTGATCATAGAGGCTTTGACTACAGTTGATTTGTTTACAGAGGGGCTTTGATCATTGAGGCATTGACTACAGTTGATTTGTTTACAGAGGGGCTTTGATCATAGAGGCATTGACTACAGGTGATTTGTTTAGAGGGGCTTTGATCATTGAGGCATTGACTACATGTGATTTGTTTACAGAGGGGCTTTGATCATAGAGGCATTGACTACAGGTGATTTGTTTAGAGGGGCTTTGATCATTGAGGCATTGACTACAGGTGATTTGTTTACAGAGGGGCTTTGATCATAGAGGCATTGACTACAGGTGATTTGTTTACAGAGGGGCTTTGATCATAGAGGCATTGACTACAGGTGATTTGTTTACAGGGGCTTTGATCATAGAGGCATTAACTACAGGTGATTTGTTTACAGAGGGGCTTTGATCATAGAGGCATTAACTACAGGTGATTTGTTTAGAGGGGCTTTGATCATAGAGGCATTAACTACAGGTGATTTGTTTAGAGGGGCTTTGATCATAGAGGCATTGACTACAGGTGATTTGTTTACAGAGGGGCTTTGATCATAGAGGCATTGACTACAGGTGATTTGTTTACAGAGGGGCTTTGATCATTGAGGCATTGACTACAGGTGATTTGACCACAGCAGGGGTTTGGTCAGAGGTGCTTTGTCCACAGAGGTTCTTTGGTCATAGGTACCTGGTCCACAGAGGTTATTTGACCATATTTAGTAATAAAACAGATAGTGTTAGTTTAATTTGGTGGGCCCAGTAGTTTTAATAACACAGTGAATTAGGTAGTTGAATTTGGTGGGCCCAGTAGTTTTAATAACACAGTGAATTAGGTAGTTGAATTTGGTGGGCCCAGTAGTTTTAATAACAAAGAGGATTAGGTAGTTGAATTTGGTGGGCCCAGTAGTTTTAATAACACAGCGAATTAGGTAGTTGAATTTGGTGGGCCCAGTAGTTTTAATAACAAAGCGGATTAGGTAGTTGAATTTGGTGGGCCCAGTAGTTTTAATAACAAAGCGGATTAGGTAGTTGAATTTGGTGGGCCCAGTAGTTTTAATAACACAGTGAATTAGGTAGTTGAATTTGGTGGGCCCAGTAGTTTTAATAACAAAGCGGATTAGGTAGTTGAATTTGGTGTGCCCAGTAGTTTTAATAACACAGCGAATTAGGTAGTTGAATTTGGTGGGCCCAGTAGTTTTATTAACACATCCAGCGGATTAGGTAGTTGAATTTGGTGGGCCCAGTAGTTTTATTAACACAGCGAATTAGGTAGTTGAATTTGGTGGGCCCAGTAGTTTTATTAACATAGCCAGCGGATTAGGTAGTTGAATTTGGTGGGCCCAGTAGTTTTAATAACAAAGCGGATTAGGTAGTTGAATTTGGTGGGCCCAGTAGTTTTATTAACACAGCGAATTAGGTAGTTGAATTTGGTGGGCCCAGTAGTTTTATTAACATAGCCAGCGGATTAGGTAGTTGAATTTGGTGGGCCCAGTAGTTTTAATAACAAAGCGGATTAGGTAGTTAAATTTGGTGGGCCCAGTAGTTTTAATAACAAAGCGGATTAGGTAGTTAAATTTGGTGGGCCCAGTAGTTTTAATAACGCAGCGGATTAGGTAGTTGAATTTGGTGGGCCCAGTAGTTTTAATAACAAAGCGGATTAGGTAGTTGAATTTGGTGGGCCCAGTAGTTTTAATAACAAAGCGGATTAGGTAGTTGAATTTTGTAAGCCCAGTAGTTTTATTAACACAGCCAGCGGATTAGGTAGTTGAATTTGGTGGGCCCAGTAGTTTTATTAACGCAGCGGATTATCCTTGAAAGTCGTGTAGAAAGCAGACATGTTTGGGCGGTGGGACAAATCTGTAATAGCTTGAGTGGGTTGTCCATAAGATTTTAGTGAGATATTAATGGCTTTAGCTGTTAGTCTAAATTTAATGCCTTTAGCGGTAATATGTAATGGTTTTAGCAGTTAGTCAAAAATTTAATGGATTTAGCATTTAGTCAAAAATAAATGTAATATGTAATAGCTTTTGAGTATTAGTATCATCTAATCTGTTTTAATAGGATAAGCACCTACCCCCTCCCCTTAGTATCACGCATCACCAGCTAGATGCTACAAACATCTGACTGTGTGATTTATGTTTAGGTAAATTATGGCTGCTGGTGGGAGATAGCAAGTTAGATGAAAATCAATGAACAACAACCATGCAAAAAACAAAAATCAATGAACAACAATCATGCAAAAAAAATGAACAAAAACCATGCAAAAAACAAAAATGATGAACAACATCCATGCAAAAAAAAAATCAATGAACAACCTACATATCACCGTCTAAACAATTACACGCTACATATCACCGTCTAAAGTCTAAACATTACACCCTACATATCACCGTCTTAAGTCTAAACATTACACCCTACATATCATCGTCTAAACATTACACTCAAGTGGAAATTTTTTCCAACAAGAATTGAGATCTCAGCTTGTCCAACCCAACCAATAGAAACCATCTACGTTTGATAACCCAGATTTCATGACTGGTATCTTAACTAAATCGTTTGTTAATTTGAACGTCACATGTTTTCTTTAAAGCTGCAGTGCAATTCAGCTATAAACTACATTTGCATTAAAGGATTATATTGAACTAATTTACTTATTGGTATTCACATGTCTTCTATAAAAATGACAAATGTTTTAAATTATATTATGGTACATAAATGAAAAAAAATCTTCATGCATTAAAATAATGAACCATACATAATAATAATATTATGAATAATGTAATATTACATTGATTAAAGAAACTAAGTCTTGTCTCTAGAAACAATGGGTAGAATCCTATTCTTTCCTGTGACCCAGCAGTTAAATTAAGATCGTCACTTGCCTTTTCTCTGATTCGTCTAAAAAATGTAGTAGTTGTATCCGACTCGTAGATTAGCGTAATAGTTCTTTAACAGATCTTACCGATTGTGATCTTATGATATAACAATTCTGCAGGAGGGCGTGGCCTAGCGGTAGAGCGCTAGCCTACCAACCCGAAATTTTCGAGATCAAATCCGGGTTCATGTCAGTGGAACGTCCCTGAGTCCACTCAGCTTTGAAGGGTACCCAGCTCACGTTTGAATAAGTAAAGGCGCTTGGACATAGTGCTGTCCACATTACCCTTTCATATGCCGAGGTCACGAAATATATGAACTCTACTTCACTTGCCCCATTGACCGTCAGGTTTGGAAGGGGGAACTTTACTTTTACTTTACTTCATCTGCCAAACGGATGGCTAGGTCTAAAGAGGAATCTATACTGTTTAAAATGTATAATTCTAGGTATTTTATTTTCCATGCAATCCCGTACAGTCTAAGGAGATATGATCTGAGATCCGCGCAAATTTAAAAACCAATTCGTACAGGCCTAAATTACAGGTCACTGTGTTATAAGAGCGCCATTGTTTAATGAAAACTGATTATCCGGCTAAATCTCTCTCGGGCGAGCACAGCTTCATAAATTTAGGGTGCAAACAAATAAGCTTAATTGAATAGCCAAAATAGATAAATAGGTTTGATTCAGTCTGATAGCTAATAGCTATAGCGTATTCAAATGTTGAGATCTTTAAAAAGAAGTACTGCATGTTGTATGTAATGATAAGTAACAGCTAAAATAATTGTTTGTTCTGTTTACAATAACAAGGAATACTGACAGACTACAAGGACATTGCAGCAAGAGTTTTCAATGGAACAGCAGCGGATTAGCTAAATCTTGTTAAAATAATTGGCCAGATTGTTTCTATAATTGTAGTTACAATCTATAGTTGATTATAATGCATTTTTAATTTATTTATTTTTAATTTTAGGAGTTCAGATCGTGAATTATGTAAACATGCATGATAAAAAATTATGTTAGTAAAAGCTGAAATATTAGTGGTTTCCATGGATACGGGACTGCTAGAGGCGACTTGATACTAATTTTGTCCAGAGTGTAAAAACTATTAATAAATGGATTTATTAACCATCTTGAACAAGTTAAATAGTACCAAGCTATATATAAACAATTAATAGTAAACAAGTAAATAAGGGTCTCGTAATCACCGCCATTTTATTTGTTTTAAGGGTGTTTTCTATCCAACAACAACGGAAATCTGCGCACAAAGAAGTGCGCAAAGGCATTTTTGTTTTCTTAAATCAAGCATTTATAGGCACTGACAAAGAATAACCACGTGTACATTGTAGAACCATAAAACACTTTTCAATGAAATATGACAAAAATAAAGTGGATTAGTATAGTATATATATATATATATATTAGTATATATCTTTATATATATATATATATAAATATATAAATATATATATATATATATATATATATATGTATATATATAAATATATATATATATATATATATATATATATATATATATATATATATATATATATATATATATATATATATATATATATATATATATATATATATATATATACACCTATATTTGTATATTTATTTATTTATTTATTTTGCACGGATATATTTTTTTTTATATTCATATTGTTTTCATAGTATAATGTGTCGGTAGTTGAAAATTAAACTGCGTAAAATAATTTAAACAGTAATAATAATGAAAAATTAAATAACTGTCTGATATATAATTGAGATATAATTGTTTTTAGGAAAAATGTACTAATAGAACTATAGGGGCCTATAGTTTTCTTTTGCAGCTAAATACAATGAAGATCCTATTTCTCTTTTTTCTGGTGTGCTTTGCTAGTCTCGCTGTCATATCCGAAAGGTAGGTTAACTTATTATATTTATAACAAAAGGGGTTGTAAACTAATTCATTTAGATTATTGTCTAATTCACTTTAATCCAAGTATCTTGTTTTGTACGTTTCATTTTAAACTGTCTACATTTAATTTTTAATTCTTGTTTTTTGTGTTATAGTTTAAAAAATGCAACAAAAAACGTCAAATTTGTATGTGTAATTTTAACATTATTTTGTCAACATTGTGATAACATGCATGTCCAGACAAACACGTATTCGTCCACTTACAAATAAGTTCTGATTATACCACTAAAACATATCACGCTTTATGCTTTCTTCTCCAAATACAGTTGTTGCCATACCATGTATGATCCCTGCAGTTCTGGCTCTGATTGCTGCCCAGCTTTTAGCTGTGTAGTAGTAGATAAAAAGTAATACTATTGATTTTTTATATTATTTAAAATTAGTAATGTTAATTTTAAAAAGTTGTATATAAATAAATTTATAGCTTAATCCCATTTAAAGATCAAGGAATCGCGTAGCGCTTTAATTTGTAACTTTAATTGTCAACTGTCCCATGAAATTATCATAAAATTATAAATGCTTTGTGCACAAAAGAAACATTTAAAATAATTGCTTATATTTTAAAGCAGATATATTCTTTATTAAATAAAATTTGAATACATTTTTAAAAAGCCTCGACTCTCAGCTCTTGTAACACAACTTGTTTAAGCAATGATTCACATCCTAAAACACAAGCATTGTTTTTTCCAGACTTTTTTCTCCTGGGGGGGGGGGGTTAAAATTTTCGGGGGGGGGGGGTGGGGGGCGGTCACATTTTTCGAGGGGGGGAAGGGACACTAGTAAAAGTGTATGTTTACTATATACAATCCATCTCGTTTGGGGGGGGGGGGGGGGCAATAGAGCGCACACCCCCCCCCCCCGAAGAGATGCCTGGAAGAAACTCTAAACACAAGTGCTGTAAAGAAATTGTTGTAAATAAAGTGCTGTCTAGTAAAACGTGACCCGTAATGACAGCTGTATATCGGCAGAGACTAATCAAGGCGCCATTACTGACGAGAAGTTTCTCTGCCCTGTTGGTTTCCTTAAATCCTACGGGCAGCTAGAGTTTTCTCAAATATATTCCATTCACAAGTCTCAAGTACAGGCAGTAGATTAGTCTCAAACTTTTTAACTTCATGAGGCTCAAGTACAGGAAGTAGTCTCAAACATATTCCATTCACAAATCTACAGACAGTAGAGAAGTCTCTAACAAATTCTATTCACAAGACTACAGGCAAATAGAATAGCCTCAAGCATATACCATCAGTGTTTCTTCCAGACTTTTTTCTCCGGGGGGGCACTTGAAATTTCCGGGGGGGGGGGGGGGGGCGGTAGACTTTCTTCGGGGGGGGGGGGGGGCAGACATTGTTAAAAGTATATATTTTCTATATAAATTATATAAATTTTATTTCGTTCGTGGGGGTGTATACCATTCACAAGTATACAGGCAGATAGAATAAACTCAAACATGTTCCACTCACAAGTCTACAGATAGTAGAGTTGTCTCAAACATTTTCTTTTCACATTCAATATGAGTAGTAAGGCTGGACGACGCGGAATCTCTATTTCGCATAAGGAATTATGTGGGGTTTTGTTTTTCAAATTATTCAAACACTTTTATCAGAGCTCCATTATGATTAATCATTTTTGCCCTCTATTTCAGGAATGGGAAAAAGGAATGCAGATAGTTAAGTATGTTATAACAACTGCAATATTTTAGCATTTATTTTATGTTGTTGTTTTGTTGTGTGCTTTTATTCAGCTTATAATAATGTTTTAATGTATATATTTGTAATTTGGTTTTGTTAATTCATTAAGAAGTCATGTAAAACCTAAAGTCTTTTCTATAAAGAGGCATTGAAGGCATGCACAGAGATACCCCTAAAATGCCATTACAACCTATTGTATCAACACATTAAATGAATTTAAACAGCAAGCTTCACTAATCCTCCAACATTTCCCCCGAACCTACCACATCTCTACCCAAAACCTAGCCCATGCTATAACATTTCCCACACCGCATCCGTCTCACATCTGTAAATTTATTCATTTTCTTGTTAGTTATATTAATCATTTTAAAAATTTCTTTTTTTTTCCATGACAGGAATAATAATGGTGAAAAGAGACTTTTAGAAAAATAAATATCTGCAATAATTTACAATAGTGTCAATTTTATTCTCTATGTAGTTTATCTATGTCATTAGTTCCCAAAGTATCATGTACACATAGAACGGAAAAATATAGAATCTAAATTCGCCAAAGTATATATGATATAATAAATGATAAACCATATTTTCTGTAATCACTACCCTCTCTTTATCTCCATCTCCATCTCTATCTCTCCCCCCCCCCCCTCTATCTCTCTCTTTATATAAACACAAGCACAAGCGCAAGAGGTAAACACAAACATAAAAGTAAACACAACCTCATGCAGAAAAGAAAATTTAAACACAAACGCAAACACAATCACATTGCAAACACAATCACATATGCAAACGCAAACTCAATAAAAAAACACAAACTAAAACGCAATCAAAAATACAAACACAGCACGCAAACACAAACGCAAAACAACACAAACGCAACTAGCAATCACAGACACAAAAACAAACACAAAAGAAAACACAAACACAAACTCAACGCAAAGGCAAACACACAAAAAAACAAAAGAAAACTTAAACACAAACACAATGTAAACACGAACGCAAAAGCAAACTTAAATGTAAACGCAAAATAACACAAACGAAAACATATACACAAACACCAACAAAAACGCTAACGCAACACAAACACAAATTCAAACTCAAACCTAAACGCAAACAATAACGCATAACATAAACACAAACTTAAATGCAAACATAAAAGCATAGTGCTCACTTGGTAGGCTGGTTCGTATACTTGGGATTTAGGACTAATTTTTGTTTTGTTTAGGCAGAGAAATTTCCTTGATGTATTTCCCTATTCTTTAATCGTTGTTCTTGTTTCATTGCTTGGGGTTTGTATGGTTTAGCCGATTTTTTTTCTGTGATTTAGTTGTGTCAGTCCTTGCTAGAAGTATTATGTCTACTAGACCTTAATTGTGTCAGTCCTTGCTAGAGGTATTGTGTCCACCGGACTTATGTAACTACTTGATTGATGTAGAGATTCTGGAATGGAGATTTCATCTGTTTTTGTCTTTGTCTCTTTGTTGTGGGTTATGCTTGGGTCATCTTCTTTCCTTTTTTGCGGTGCCTCTGTTTCGGGGTTTGTCTCGGGCACGGAATTAGATATTTTTGGCGCCTTTGTTATTTTCCACTGTTCTGATGTAGGACTATGTTTGTTTTTCCTTTTTGTTGATGTGATGGTGTCCATTGCTGTTTCTGACAGTGGTTTATTGCTATTTGCAGTACTGTTTATCGTGCAGCTGGGGTCCTTTAGTTGTGTCGAATTGCTGATAATCGGTGTCAGCGTATTTGGTGTTGCATCTTGTAGTTGAGTGCTGTTGTTCTTTTGTGTCGAGTCTTGCTGTCGTTTATTAATAGGCGCTATTTTTAACACCGGGATCACAGCTAACATAGGGATCACAGTCAAATAATACCTAATGTAAAAGTTTTGCTTCATTTATTACAAACGTAATTTACTACATCAACAATCAAACTCAAGGAAGTCATTTATTACATCGACCATGCAACCATTATATTTTTAAAAAGTCATTAATTACACCGACAATTCGACCATCACAGAAGTAATTTACTAATCGGCCCTTCAACCATAAATGACGTAATTTTGGCCATCGACCATTCGACCATTAGATTCAAAAAAGTAATTTATTACATCAACCATTACATTTGAAGAAGTAATTCACTACATCGATCATTACATCGACCATTACATTTAAAGAAGTAATTTATTACATCGACCATTCGACCATTAATTTAAAAAGGTAATTTATTACATCGACTTTTTGACAAGCACACGCACAGAAGTAATTTACTAGTTCGACCTTTCGGCCATTATATTCAAAGAAGACACCTTAATACTCTCAACCCAAGAGTAGTATTTACAACACTTTTTTTATTTAATTTGGATCGACGACAAATTTTGTTTATACCAGCCAATAGAAATGACCCACGTTTGATAACAATCATATAAAAGTTCTCTGGACAATCAAACAAACACCAGTTGCCTATTTCAAAACAAGTGAACAATGTAACTAAACTTATATATATATTCATATATATATATATATATATATATATATATATATATATATATATATATATATATATATATATATACTTGTTTTTCTTTTTGTTTTGTTTTTTGCTTTTAAATTTAATATTAGAACTATATAGTTTTGCTTGAGAGATAACTTTAGAAAATATTAATTTTATTTTTACTTTTTTACAGCTGAATAAAATGAAGATCCTATTTCTCTTTTTTCTGGTGTGCTTTGCTAGTCTCGCTGTCATATCCGAAAGGTAGGTTAACTTATTATTTTTTTATCAAAAGGGATTGTAAACTAATTCCTTTAGATTATTGTCTAATTCACTTTAATCCAAGTATCTTGTTTTGTACGTATCATTTTAAACTGTCTACATTTAATTTTTAATTCTTGTTTTTTGTGTTATAGTTTAAAACAAAAAACGTCAAATTTGTATGTGTAATTTTAACATTATTTTGTCAACATTGTGATAACATGCATGTCCAGACAAACACGTATTCGTCCACTTACAAATAAGTTCTGATTATACCACTAAAACATATCACGCTTTATGTTTTTTTCTCCAAATACAGTTGTTGCCATACCATGCATTATCCCTGCACTTCTGACGAAAGATGCTGCAACAATTATACTTGCGTAGCAGATCCAAAGTAATAATATTTTTTAATAATATTTAAAATAATGTTAATTTTAAAAAGTTGTTTATAATTAAATTAATAGCTTAATCTCCTTTAAAATCATGGAAAGATAATGAAAGCTTTTGCTACACACAACTTGTTTAAACAATGTCTAAATCCCTAAAACACAAGTGTAAAGAAATTGTTGTAAATGAAGTGCTGTCTAGTAAAACATGACCCATGATGACAGCTGTAGAGACTAATCAAGGCGTCATTACTGACGAGAAGTCTCTCTGCCCAGTTGGTTTCCTTAATTACATTCCATTCGTAAGTCTACAGGCAGCTAGAGTAGTCACATATTCCATTCATAAGTCTCAAGTACAGGCAGTAAAGTAGTCTCAAACTTATTCACTTCAGAAGGCTCAAGTACATGCAGTAATCTCAAACATATTCCATTCACAAATCTACAGACAGTAGAGAAGTCTCAAACAAATTCTATTAACAAGACTACAGGCAGATAGAATAGTCTCAAACATATTCTATTTACAAGTCTACAGACAGTAGAGTAGTTTAAAACGAATTCTATTCACAAAATTTCAGGCAGATAGAATAGTCTCAAACATATACCATTAACATTTAATATGAGTAGTAAGGCTGGACGTGGCAGAATCTCTATTGCGCAAAAGTAATTATGTGGGTTTTTTTTTTTTTTTTTTTTTTTTTTTTTTTTTTTTTTTTTTTTTTTTGCAAATTATTCAAACATTTTTATCATACCTCCATTAAAATTAATCATTTTTGCTCTCTACTCCAGGGATGGGGTCAAGAAATGCCAATAGTTAAGTATGTTATAACAACTGCAATATTTTAGAATTTATTTTATGTTGTTGTTTTGTTGTGTGCCTTAATTCAGTTTATAATAATGTTTTTTTATTTAAATATTTGTAATTTGTTTTTGTTAATTCATTAAGAAGTCATGTATAGCCTATAGTCTTTTCTACAAAGAAGCATTGAAGGCATGCACAAAGATACCCCTAAAATGCCATTACAACCTATTGTATCAACAAATTAAATGAATTTAAACAGCAAGCTTCACTAATCCTCCAACTTTTTCCCCGAACCTACCACATCTCTACCCAAAACCTTGCCCATGCTATAACATTTCCCACACCGCATCCTTCTCACACCTGTAAGTTTATTCATTTTCTTGTTAGTTATATTAATCATTTTAAAAATGTCTTTTTTCCATGACAGGAATAATAATGGTGAAAAGAGACTTTCAGAAAAATAAATATCTGCAATAATTAACAATAGTGTTAATTTTATTCTCTATGTAGTTTATCTATGTCATTAGTTCCCAAAGTATCATGTACACATAGAACGGAAAAATATAGAATCTAAATTCGCCAAAGTATATATGATATAATAAATGATAAACCATATTTCCTGTAATCACTGCCCTCTCTTTATTCTCCTTCTCCATCTCTATCTCCCCCCCCCCTCTATCTCTCTTTTTATATAAACACAAGCACAAACACAAGAGGTAAACACAAACATAAAAGTAAACACAACCACATGCAGAAAAGAAAATACAAACATAAACGCAAACACAATCACATTGCAAACACAATCACATATGCAAACGTAAACTCAATAAAAAAACACAAACTAAAACGCAATCAGTAATACAAACACAGCACGCAAACACAAACGCAAAACAACACAAAGGCAACTAGCAATCACAGACACAAAAACAAACACAAAAGAAAACACAAACTCAACGCAAAGAAAAACACACACTCAAACGCAAAAACAAACACAAAAAAACAAAAGAAAACTTAAACACAAACACAATGTAAACACAAACGCAAAAGCAAACACAAATGCAAACGCAAAATAACACAAACGAAAACATATACACAAACACAAACAGAAACGCTAACGTAACACAAACACAAATGCAAACTCAAACCTAAACGCAAACAATAACGCATAACATAAACACAAACAAATATTTAAAAAAAAAGCCAAGAACTATATTTTAGTCTCCACATAAAGGCCGGTGCTAGACCTCATAGATTTATTTTAAATATAAATGAAACACAAATAATGCGACATATAACAAGTTTCACAAATAAATAATGTAGAACATAGCAAATATAAAGGATAAAAAATGATACAAAACTTGCCAACAACATAGTCAAAGATGTAATACATAAAATGGTTAACTAAATGACAGATTTTCTATAGCATGCAAATATGTCAACACATCTGTTTGACCATATTATTACATCATGGCGAAATTTAAAATATAATTTAGCAACTTTTAAAATAAATCCTTACCATATATGGACAGCATTGGACAAACCACCTGAGATCAAAGACCCTATGTTGACAAAACACCTGAGATCAAAGACCCTATGTGGACAAAACACCTATGATCAAAGCCGGACACAGCGCTTGTGATCAAACACCAGTTGATAGACCACCTGTGATCAAAGACCCTCTGCTGAGAAAACACCTGTGGTCAAACCCCCTATGGTCAAAGCCCCTATGATCAAACCCCCTATGGTCAAAGCCCCTATGGTCAAAGCTCCGCTGTGGTCAAACCACCTATGGTCAAACCCCCTATGGTCAAAGCACCTGTGGTCAAAGGTCCTAGAACCTAACCAACGTGGGTCTACCACGGTTGCACTGACCGGACAGTTTATTTAGATAAGCCTAGGGAGGGGTAGATAGTATAATAGTTATCCCCCCCCCCCTAGCAGGGCTTTCACATATAACTCGACAAAATTGACACATTTTATAAATGTGCTATTTAATGAATTAATATGAAGCAAAGTAAATACGCATCTCCTATACAACAGAATTTATAAACTTTTCTAAGGATATTTCCTATCCAAAATCAAGTTATCTGCCCTCTGTGTGTGCTCTGTTCTGTTGCTCTTTCCTTAGGGGTCATCCATAAATGACGTCACGTTTTTTTGACGACTTTTACCTAAAATGACGCCACACCTCAGCCAACAACCCCCCTCAAAATTGCAGTTGAAATTTTTTAAAACATCGATATTTTTCCAAACTTTTCTGAAATCCGTCCAAATAGAGTATTTTAATCAATTCCTATTAAAATTTATTAAAACAGTTTTCTAAAACGCGAAATAGCGCAAAAATACGTTTTCTAACATTTCTTTTTTATAATGAAAAAAGTGTGACGTCGCGCCATCTGAACCCCCTCCCCCTCATCACACATCGTCACAAAATTACCGACCCCCCCCCCTCCGAGTGTGACGTCATTTATGGACGACCCCTTGGAGTCATTTCTCATCTATTGGTCAGCAAAATTCAGAAAAACAGTACATTTACTTTTTTTCTGGCTGTGTTTACTTGAAATCCTACATTTTATTTTCAAGTCTTTATTGTTTCGTTTTTAAAACATAACATGTGCAAAAACATTCAACTGTCATATAACTATACACAATACGTCTGCTGTTTTTAAAATCGCTGTATTTCATATATTCCATAATTCAAAAACGTACACTCTTTATAAGTAATAATAACAATCCTTGTAAGTACACTTCCTTAATGTGTCACCTACAATTTTATCGGGTATCAATACACTCTTGGTCAGTGGTACATACATTAAAAAATGGAACTGCCTCGAACCCAACTTAATAGCTTATATCACAATCGAGACATAACAAGAGAAAAACAGACTAGGCAGCTAGAGGTTAATTCGACAATTTAGTTTAGCTCTAGTTTTCAAATGATAGCTGGAGGATCATTAAACAATTTACTTTAACTCTTGTTTATTCTACAAGTAATTTAAAAACACGAAACATTAAAATTACTTATATTCTTGGGAACTATCATCAACACTCCATAAATGATATTATAATCTAACCTCTCTAATATCACGTATTACCAACCAGATGTTACAATCGTATGACATCTAATTGTAAATACAACATTTAACTATATCTTATGTTTACCTAATACAATATATAATGTATTTTTTAGATGGAGCCATGACAGCTGGTCCAACAAACTTAACTTAATCAATAAACGCAGCAAACCAACTTAGCAAACTTAATTATATTATTTCAACATACAACGAGTACCACCTAAACTTCTGGCCATGAAGTATCCTTAATATTCTCAACCCAAGAGTAGCATTTACAACTCTTTTTAATTTAATTTGGACCGATGACTAAGTTTGTTTATACCAGCCAATAGAAATGACTCACGTTTGATAACAATCATATACAAGTTATCTGGACAATCAAGCAAACACCAGTTGCCTTCTTCAAAACAAGTGTACACTGTAACTAAACTTTGCACGTACTAATGTTTTTATATTCATATTTTTTGCAAAATAATAAGTGTTAGTAGTAGTTGAAAATTAAAGTGCGTACAATAATTTTAACCGTTTTACGGATCATGAAAAATTAATTAACTATAATTATTTAAGTTTTTTTTTGTTTTGTTTTTAGAAAAAAATTAATATTAGAACTATAGAGTTTTGCTTGAGAAATAACTCAAGAAAATACTTTTTTTTTGTTTTACAGCTGAATAAAATGAAGATCCTATTTCTCTTTTTTCTGGTGTGCTTTGCTAGTCTCGCTGTCATATCCGAAAGGTAGGTTAACTTATTATTTTTTTATCAAAAGGGATTGTAAACTAATTCCTTTAGATTATTGTCTAATTCACTTTAATCCAAGTATCTTGTTTTGTACGTTTAATTTTTAACTGTACACATTTAATTTTTAATTCTTGTTTTTTTTATAGTTAAACAATCGCAACAAAAAACGTCAAATTTGTATGTGTAATTTTAACATTATTTTGTCAACATTGTGATAACATGCATGTCCAGACAAACACGTATTCGTCCACTTACAAATAAGTTCTGATTATACCACTAAAACATATTACGTTTTATGCTTTCTTCTCCAAATACAGTTGTTGCCACACCGAGAATTTTCCCTGCAGTTCAGGGAGGGTTTGTTGCGATAATTATGATTGCCTGAAACAGCCGTAATTTTTTTTATATTAATTAAAATAAGTAATGTTATTTTTTTTAAACGTTGTTTATAATTAAATTAATAGCTTAATCCCATTTAAAGTTTATGGAATCGCGTAGCGCTTTAATTTGTAACACCGCGTTTACACTTACGACATGTATACTATACATTTCTATAACCCAAAATCCGCCACAAGTTATTTTTATCTGGAAACATTTTGTTCACAGAACATGTATACTTTGGCGTTCACACTTACAGAACATGTTATAGAACATTGTTTATAACAAACATGACCTTTGACCTGGAGCGTCTGCTATCTAAGCCTAGATAATTAAAAGAAAGAGTAATCAGAGTAAAAAAAAAAAAACAAAGTAGATATAGATTTCAGGTAGATTTATTAATTACAGGAAAAATGTGTAGTCATTGTGCCTACGATGCAACAATAAATTATCTAAAAATTAGAGAACATGCAACATTTAAGACATTTTATTGGAGTGCCAGCTAGAGCAAGAAATAATATTAGTTCTGTATAATAGCAAGGGTCTAAGAAATTACCCACCTGCTACTACCTCGCTCCCATCCCGCAGTACCTACCCTTCCCTCCCCACCCCAACCTCATTGTCGTCATTTCCCCGGCTAGCTGTCACTTTACGATACTTTGTAACTGGAGAGAAGTTTAGCTTTTTGATACACCTTCTCATAATTTCCAAATTAAAAAGTTAAAAAAGTCCTATAGCTTTATATCCTTCAGAAACAGCTTCAATGATTTGAATGAACAGGGCTAAACATTTGTCTGCTGAAGGGCCTGATTTCTTCGATAAATTTGCATCTGCCAAATCCATTACAAATATTGAGATCGAGTTATAACTATACTCACTACTGAGCCTATATTTTAAACCCAATTAATTAGTCTATCGCTTGTTATCTGCCTGTTTTTATAGTCGGCACTAGTGTGATCCCACAAGCACTTCTGACAGGCCTATAGATTTATTCCTCTGTCAGTCAGACATTGAAAATATGTGGATACATTTCAAACAATGGGTCAAGGAAAATTGAAGAATAACTTTCATCAATAAGTTTCGTTAATATATTTTTAGAATATATTTTATTATTTCTTCAATTACAAATTAGACTGGTTTAATTAAAACGTGTTTGGGATTTAATTGAAAAAATAATAAGTAATAATTAAAAATGTAATTTTTTAGTAGGGCCTATAGTGCCCTATAGAAGCTATACATTTTTAAAGTGTGCGCTCAAAGGCTGTAAATCAGTATGTATGTTATATTTTGGCTT